TATATGTGTGTGTGTGTGTGTGTGTGTGTGTGTGTGTGTGTGTGTGTGTGTGTGTGTGTAAGCCAGCCATGTCAATCATCTGAGGACAACATACTTTCTAGATTTTATTTTGCTTAAAAGTAGTCCAGGAAAATGCTCATCTCAAAAGCTACAAACATTCACTATTCAAATCCTTCAACACTGAGAGACATCAGCCTACACCTTGTTCAAATTACTATTTCCAGAATCATAAATGCACAATGCGTAGAATTTCATTTTTATTTTTATATTTTCTTGAAAGACACCACTTGTTGTTTCACATCAGTACATTATAAAGTTGGAAGTAAGTCAAAGTAAAAAAAATAAAACTTAATCATGAAGAAGATATTAAAAAACAAACACTTTTTTTCTGGTATTATTCAGTCTTGAGGCAAAAGTTTAATTGAATCAGGTGATAAAAAACAAGTGTACTGGTGTCATAGTTGCTCTTCTCAGGGTGTTAAAGCTGAGGTAAATGGTATGAATATCAAATTAGAAAAATTAGGAAAAAAAACTAAACATTTATTGTGGTTTTGTCAGGCAGAGCTCTAGAAATACAGACAGTCTTTATTTCTTGGTCAGAAACAGACTTAGGAAATCTGTTGGCTCCTTTTCACTGTCCTTCGTCTCTGCGTCACGGCAGAAGTCTGGTGGGTTGAGTTGACTGGGGTCTGTAATCCCCTTGATGTTGTCCAAAAAGCTAATGAACAGAAGAAAAAAAAAAACATTAACATAGAAAACAAGCAGGTGTGCATACATTGTTTTAGACTTGTTCAAGGGCTGAAACTGACCTGGTCACCACCTATACAACTGCTCAGTGTGGAGACAGAGATAACTGGAATGCAACCAAACTCAGTGACTGAGCTCACATGCTCTCCTGCTAAACAGAAAATGTGTTAATAGAAAACAGTGAGTGAGTGAATAGAAAGCTATGAAATGTTCGCACACCTGTTTTGTCAGGCAGATCCCCTGCCCAGGAGTTGAGCAGGAGACCGTCTCTAGGTCCAGATGAGCTGCCCAGGACAAACTGACCCACCAAAGTTGTCTCTTTGGTGATAGCCATGGGCTGGAAGTCCACCTTCAAAGGCTTCTTCTTACATGTGCGGTTATGTTCATGAATTTCATACATGGCAGCCTGATGGCTGAAACACTTTTTAGATTAGTACAATTTTGAACACACCTTAAGTTCTGAGTAAAATCTTTGTTCTTGTTGAACAATCTGCATTTTGCTACTTGAGTTTTATTCTTGGAATAAAATCTAAACAGTTCAGTAACAACTCAGGCTAAATGAGAGGCGGTGTCTAAACTTATACTTTGACAGGTAGAGGAATTACACTAATGTTCTAGACTATATAAAATATACTCTGCAAAAGCTTTAAGCATGTGGATCCCCTAAGAGGAGTTTCATGAACACCAGAGTTGTTCCTTGTGAGCACCAGATTTTTATGGATTATATTGTGCACATACAACACTTTCCCGTTTCACCAGTTAAGTGAAACATATTTTAAAATCTGTTTGTTACCAATGTCCCCATAGGGGCTTTGTCTGAACCACCCCTAATTTCTTTGTATTTTCCTTCTAAGAACCAGTCTTTCTTGTAACCTTTAAAGTGGCCCAAAAAGCCTTTGTTTGTTTGTGTCTTTTTCCTATCATCAAAACCCATAGCCTGTCGAAGAAGATGGACACTTTTTTAACAGAGGTTTCCTGTTAAAATGAAGTCTTTTATTTCTAGTATTGCCCTTTTGTTTGCTCAAATTGGGGGATTGCATCAGCGTGAAAATTCATTAAATCTGCTGGTTTGGATGTAGAAGAAAATGGATGGATGGATGGATATGTCAAACTGTGTTAACTTTTACATATTTTTACTCAAATAAAGACAGGGGAACAAACTTTGTTTTTTCTTTTCACCAAATGGGTTCCATTTCCCCCTACTGTAGCCGAGCTGATTGAAAACATGGATAAGAAATCAACCTGGGACTTGTTCTACACAGAGGCCAGCAGCATGACCCCAGCATTTAAAAACTTTGAGTGGTTGGTTAGATTTAGTTCTGTGTGAGACTTCATTCTGCCCCTTTTGCAGACCAGGTCCTATACAGATGCCCTGCTCCAGGTGTTAGATATGGGCTGTGGAACATTGGCTTTAGGCCTGTCCATTACAGAGAGTCTGCTCTCCCAGTCTGGGTCACATGTGATGACCTTTCCCCCGTAGCTGTGAGGCTTATGCAGGAACATGTTCGATTTAAAGCCTTCAGACCTGACAATCCAACAGACGCAGACAGCCTGGGGAGCCGCTTCGTATTCTGGCCCATGACATCGAGTGTCTCTGCAGGAGGGCTTATGACAACATGCCACCTACCTACTTCCTGCAGGCCCTCAGTCCCAAAGAGCTCTGAATACAGACTCAGCTTGCACGTTCAGATACACTTGGTGCAGCCGTAGAGTTGGCGATGGTGAGCGAGATGCTAACAGGATCCAGTGGTGGAGATGAGGACATACCGATGGTGAGGGCAATGTTTGCACCTGTCGAGCAGCTGGGGAGGACAGGGGGACCAATCAGTACGATGCAGACCGCTGCTCTTCAGTCATCTGCTCCAGGGGCTGGCCCGCACCGTCGACCACAGAGCTGCTGGGATGTGAGCAAACAGGCCACCTATCAGACAGTGTCCCAGGTTTGCAGCCATGCCGGGAAATGCCCAAGGGCTCGTGTAGGTGGGAGTGCACGGGCCTGTGAGACCAACACCCCCAGCCTGCCACCACCTCCACCAGGTGCAGTCATTACTGTTGGATGGACACAAGTGGGCAACTTTTGTCACATTCCAGTGGTGGTCGCTGGGGTGCCTTGTACAGCACTCCTGGACACAGGGTCCAATGCAACGCTAGTTTGGCCTGACATCATCCCTATTGAAGCTGCTGTGCAGGCAACTGATGTGCAACTTCAATTAAATTCAATTAAAAAATACTTTATTAATCCCAGAGGGAAATTAAATGTTGTTGTAACTCATCATCCTGGTTTCATGAAAGAGTTGTTATAGATGCTGATGGCTGTGGGCAGGAAGGATCTCTTGTAGCAGTCTGTCTTACAACGGATCTGAAGAAGCCTCTGACTGAAGACACTCTGTTGTTGTATGACAGTCTGATGAAGAGGATGCTGAGGGTTGTGTATAATGTTCTTCATTTTATGAAGAATCCTTCTTTGTACAGTCATCTCCAAAAGTTCTAGAGGAGTCCCCAGAACTGAGCCAGCCTTCTTTATGAGCTTGTTGATTTTTTTAAGGTCACTTGCTCTGGTGCTGCTACCCCAGCAGATGATGGCAGAAGAGATAGTACTCTCTACAACAGACTTATAGAAGATATGCATCATCTTGCTGCAAACATTGAATGACTTCAGTTTCCTCAAGAAGTACAGTCTGCTCTGTGTCTTCTTGTAGACGGCTTCACTGTTGCATTTCCAGTCCAGTGTGTTGTCCAGATGAACCCCAATATATTTATACTTCTCCACCACCTCCACTTCTTCTCCCATGATGGAAATAGGGTTGGACCTGTTTCTGGTTCTCCTGAAATCTACAATCATCTTCTTTGTTTTGTTCACATTCAATATGAGATGATTGTTTCCACACCATGCCACAAAGTGGTCTACCAGTTCCCTGTACTCAGCTTCTTATCTATCTCTGATACATCTGACCACTTCAGAGTCATCTGAATATTTCTGCAGATGACAGGAGTCTGTTTTGTATTGGAAATCTGAGGTGTACAGAGTGAAAAGGAATTGTGAGAGTACAGCCCCCTGTGGTGCTCCTGAGCAACTGACCACCTGGTTAGACACACAATCCTTTAGTCTCACACATTGTGGTCTGTTTGTCAGGTAGTCTTTGATCCAGGGGATTGTTGACGCCTCCACCTGAGTCTTCTGGAGTTTCTGATAAAGCAAATCAGGCTGGATTGTGTTAAATGCACTGGAGAAATCAAAGAACATGACTCTCACAGTGCTGTCTGCTTTTTCTAGATGACAGTGTTTGCTGAAGCAGGTGTATGATGGCATCTTCAACTCCAAGTCCTTGCTGATAAGCAAATTGCATTGGGTCCTGATATGTGCTTGTTTGTTTAATCAGGTGGGTCAGCAGAAGTCTCTCTAGGACCTTCATGATGTGGGATGTCAGGGCAACAGGTCTATAGTCATTGAGGACTGATGGGTGAGTTTTCTTTGATACTGGAACAAGGCAGGAGGTTTTCCACAACAATGGAACCTTCTCCTGTGTCAGGCTAAGGTTGAACCCCACAGAGGTGCTCTGCACAGACCTTCAGGACTCTGGGACTGACACCATCTAGACCTGAAGCCTTATTCCGGTTCAGTCTCTCCAGCTGCTTCCTCACTTGACTTCTAGAGATGCAGAGGGGGGAGGCAAAGGAGGTATCGGCATCTTCTGATTTGGTTGAAGACCAGCATGTACAAGAAGGGTCCATGACTGAAGTGGTAGATAAAATATTTGAGGTGTGACAGGACAGCCTTGGGTCAAAGGAAGGTGGTATATCTGTTTGACTGTGGGCAAGAGAGGAGGATGCTGAGCTTGTTCCTGAACTGAACCTATTGAAGAACATGTTCAGTTCATTGGCTCTGTCCAGGCTTCCATCCTTCTGATCCTCCTTCTGCTTGAAGCCTGTGATCTTTTTCATTCTTGACCACACCTCTCTGTTTTTGTTCTGCTGAAGCTTGCTCTCCACCTTCTTCTTGTACACCTCCTTGCTGTTTCTTATCTTGACTTTTAGTTGCTTCTGTGTACTCCTCAATGATTCCCTGTCTCCCTCCCTGAAGGCTCTTTTTTCTGGTTTAGCAGTTCCTTCAGGTCAGTGGTGATACAAGGTTTGTTATTGGGGAAGCATCTCACTGTTCTGGTGGGGATGGTGTTGTTTACACAGAAGTTTATATAGTCAGTCACACACTCAGTCGTGGCATTGATGTCCTCGCCATGTGGCTGGCACAGTGCATCCCAGTCTGTAGCCTCAAAACAGCCCCACAGGGCTTATTCAGCTTCCATTGACCATTTTCTCACTGTTTGCTTTATTACAGGTTGCCTCTGAACAAGGGGTTTACATTTTAAGCAAAGAAACACAAGATTGTGATCTGATTTGCCAAGAGGGGGTCTTGCTAGGTTCATGTATGAATCCTTGACATTTCCATAAAACAAGTCCAGTGTTTTGTTTTCTCTGGTAAAGCAGCTGACAAACTGTTGGAATGTCATAAGTGTAGCAGAGAGTGAGGCATGATTAAAATCCCCAGATATTGCAACAAATGCACTAGGGTGTTGTGTCGGTAGCTTAGCAACCTCGGAGCTGATGACATCACATGCAGTCTTGGTAACAGTATTGGGTGGAATGTAAACAGTTGCCAAAATAACACTGGTGAACTCTCTAGGCAAATAATATGGACGACAACTTAGTGCTAACAGTTCATTATCTGGACTGTAGAGACAACACTTCACAGTAACATGGCCAGGATTACATCATCTGTTGTTCACAAGCACTGCCAACCCACTTCCTTTTTTTGCCACTCCTCTTTAAATCTCTATCTGCTCATATGGTCAGAAAGCCTGACAGAGAAACGCTGGAGTCAGTAATATGATCCTGCAGCCATGTCTCAGTGAAACACATAACACTGCATTCCCGATACCTGGGTGGGTCCTTGTTAGGGCTTGAAGTTCATCCAACTTGTTTCCCAGTGATCTCACATTGCCCATCATGATCGATGGAAGAGATGATTTGAACTTCATTCTTCCCTTTTTCTCTCTTTTCTTTGCTCCTGCTCTGCATCCATGACACCTCCTTATCAATTCATTTGGAATTTGGGGCTGTAGCTGAGATATTATTTGAGCTTTGGAGATGTTAATCAGCTGCTCCCGGTTAACATGGTGTTTGGTTATATATGACCCTAAATGGCAGACCAAAGACACGAGAACAACAGGGATACAAAAGTGATAGTTCATTTACAGTGCAGCTGCGGTTTTGGCTGTGGGAGGAAAAAAGGGAGACGAGATGAGTGTCTTGAGATGAATGATCCTTGATAACAGGGATGATGTTAAGGGGTTTGTCTTACTGTCGAATATGGTTGCAGATGGCATTGGAGTGATGGGGACA